ATTATAATTTCAGCCTCTAGTTGAGCACTGATTAAATAAACTACCTCGTCTTTATGTTAACTTGGAGTTATTCATTGCCTACATCAGTGACTTCAAAATATATGTTTCAATCCCAATAATTTCACTCGCTGTTAATTGCATGGGAGTGCCAGTCTTTCATGAATTTCTATTGTCATGTCAATTTCTTGCGATTACTCGGAACATGAACCATATACCGCCTAGGTGCTGTAACCAAATCCTGGTATAAGCACTGGTTAGGCAGTCTTGAACTATGCATGTGAAGCCAGCTGAGAGGTATATCCAATCCTATCGATCTTTCATTGTTTGGTAACTATTTGCTGCAAATGCAACAAAAATCAATATAAAAATATTACCCACACAGCATTCTACAGGTTACTTGTAAGTTATATGCTTCTAAATGTATTCATTCAGTTTAATGTTCCTCAGTGGTGGTCGTCTCGCTACGCATGCGTGATTTATGGGACTCGTGTGAACAAAAATGGCGACGTTGATTGTTGCGCAGACCAACGAGTATAAACTGAGACGTAACTAAGCTTTAACTGTGAAATTTACTTGGTGATTGGAAAATATCGAAGGAGTCGCCGCCGGTAATTAAGTCAAAACACATACTCATGATTTCCATTAGAAGAGCGCATTGGATTGTGGAAAAATTGATGTTTATCAACACAAATGTCGCTCATGCGCGGCGCGACGACCACCGCCCGTTTAAGCTGGAGATAAGGAGTCATTCACTATTGCTACTCACTAAACGTAATGACACAATAATGTGAATAATGTCTTTTTGCCCCCAAAGATGTTGACATCAGCCACAGTGCAGACGGAAACGACATTTTGTTCCACTGCGACATAACTCACCAAACTGCGTCGTCATCTGTTGAAATGGTATTCGAATGGTTTGTGGCTGATGAGTTGGTGTTTCAAGAAAGCATATCTGGTGATTCAGCGAGGTCTACAATGGATCAGAGTTACTGGGAAGGTCGAATGGGTTCTCAGGTTCGTGTAGGAGCATATTGCTATTCCATCTATGTGTTTGTGCTTGGTGTCACGCATTGTACAATGTCCATAACGTGTTTAGACATAACAAAAACACTTTGCAAACTAAACAGTGGAGATGAAAGTGAGGACGTATACATTTCCAGTGATGCCGTTTATGTTCTTTCACGGGTAATACCTAACCGCTATTTGCAAACATACGCATGCGAACATTATACCTATATTCGTAATGATTGGCTAGGGCGCAAGGTATACTGTCCATTCATGCCAGGTATTCTCAACACATATGATATCCCAGTGTCCTTTCCCGTTATAAATTCATGTTAATATTTAATCATACCTCCTATGGATGATCACGTGTAAAATGCTGTGTAATTATAGATTGGTTAATATATTTTAATGACATTGAATTCTATACGAAATGATATTCGTAAGTAGCGCCGCCAGTGGCCACAAGCAACAAATAAGACGCATAACTGAATACATGACTTTGTTTCTTCAGATTCGATGTGAAGTTGAGATTATGGAAGATGGAGTAAGTGTTGGACGAAAACGAAGTCAACAGTTCTTTGCCGGTGTTACGGTAAAACCAAATGCATGTAGTCTGTCAACTAATTATCAATAACAAAAACATGTCAGAAAATCAGCCTCAAATCGATAAATTTCGCTTTTTGGTGATTTAATGTGATTTTGTTCACGTTTTCTAAGATTGATGCTCCCGAAGTTCTTGAAGTTTACGAAAACAACGACGCAGTGTCATTCAATCTCGAGTTAAGCATACCGTTTTTCTGCGACGCATTTGAAGATCAAGAAGAACCCTGTCAAGTCGAGATACCTTTGAGCGTATCAGATAGAAGTGGTCGGTATGGGACATATGTTGATGTGGTCGTTCAGGGTCAGTGTGGAGCTCAACTGACAACAGAAAACTCAGAAGGACCAGTGGCAGTTACTGTTAAGGCTCGTAGAGACTTTTTCAGTGATGGCGATGGGGAAGTGTATTTGGAATTTCTCCCGATAGAGACAACACATTCCAAACTGTGGGATGGTTACAAGATCCCGGGAACAGTCAAAGTAAGTTTGAAAATATGTGATTTGTATCTACAATTATCGCTCTCAATGTATAATGGACCGTGAGGAATTGACTATGAAAAATATGGTAAACAACAATATTTTGAGTAGTATGCTACCTATGTTTAGATGTTATCTAAGACTACGTTTACAACTTGGAATAGTGCAGTCCGACACTGTTGGTCATTTGAATTGAATCGTTGCGTATCATTTATGTTACCACACAGGGGCTGATAAGTTCTAACTATGATTGTACACTAAGCGGTTGTTTTGTAAGGTAATCACGTACATCTTGATTACTGTTCTAAATGACTGGGTATACATTTATGGCTGTATTTTCATATTTTCCAGATAATAACGTATGATCGTGATAGAAGAAATCGACAGTGCTGTGGTTCCGGTGATCCCCATTACAATACGTTCGATAATATGTGAGTATATACGATTTAGTGTACAACCTAAATTGGTGAGCATGTATCACGATACTAATTCCAAGTATTCTGTTTTTTTATTCGATACTATGTAAATATGTATAGACTGTGATTAAAGACGCCTTTACCCGACAGGTACTTCCACGTGTATAGGCCAGGTGAATATGTTTACTACAAACATGAAGTACTTCCATATGAGGTAATGATTGCCAATTTTACACACATGATAAAATGGCTACGTGTAATATATCCGATAATTTCACTGAAAGTTTTGGTTTGATATTGTATGACTTATTGTACTGTCGTGTTTTTTTTCAGATTCAGACACGCCTTAAAAAGTGTTGGAGTGTAGCCTGTAACTGTGGAATTTCTGCAAGAGCTGAAGATGACGTCATCATCGTCGATAAATGCAAATTGGTTCAAGAAAGAGTTGTGACCTTCCGAAATGGTATGAAGTCGTCTTATGAGCGCACAAGCTGTAAGTTAACCATCAATATTATACAAAATGGAGACATGACGCCCGGATTTAAACTGGTAAAGACTAATGGTGGTCGAACTTATCAAGTAAGAACTTTTCAAGTTATTCATCACACATCTGTCCATGATAACCCCATATACATAGATCACATGCTGTTGTTTTCATTGTCATTCCCTTTATGTTTGTATACTGTTCGTCGGATGAACCACTGTACCGCAAAGCTAGTAATCGCAAAACCAGATTGTTAGCAGTGCAATCCGACACGTTGTTATTACATTAGTTGATACATTAGTTATGATCCGTTCATAGAATGAAAAACAATCAATATGGTAAAAATGTATGTATTGTGTAACGATTACGTACATAAAATATACGCGTTTTGTTGTTTGTCCTGTTAACCAATACACATTTCACTTTCAGATACACTTTCCCAATGGTGCATACGTGCAGGCGAGTTTCTGGTCTTCTACTGGTGTATGTGGAGCTGATATATGCTTCTCCCCGTCCTCTGATGACAACAATTGGCAAAACGGTGGGCTCTGCGGAAGTTACGATGGTGATTATTCAAATGACTTCTTAAAAGGACCATTCCATTCCCAAGTGAAGGAGTACCTAGCACCACTGCGAAACAGAGTTGCTCACGACTTTTCAGACACATGGAGGTAACAGTTGTTTTTATTTACATAATTAGTTTCAGTATTAGTTTTTGTCTCCCTTTACTTGTTTCCTGTTAGCTTTTGACATAAACTAGCTGACTAACCAAGAACATGTTTGAAAACGCACAATATGTAATAACGCAATTTCATAATAGAGTTTAGTAGGGGCAGGTTATAGACGAAGTAATTATAATGTTTATAACATATTTTGTTTTTATTTCAGAGTCCCCAATGGCAATAATTTATTTTACGGAGAAATGGACGAAGTGGATAAAATGGACAATACGAAAGTGTATTGCTCTTGTAGCCCGACAAATGATGGCGTCGATGCACAATGTGACGATAATAAAGACAATGGACGTCCTTCAAAAGCAGGACACGAGATGGGAACGTGCAATGCAAGGTACTGTGACGTCACTAACGAGTTCATTTCCGTCAGTGTTGAGCGTCAAAAGAGGGCGATATACAAAAGAGATATTGTCGATGACGATCTGTTATTTGAATACGAAGAGGACTTCGAACCCACGGTAAGATTATATGTGTGTTTCGACCTGTGATTTATATGCATAATATTTTATCTAATTCTAAATATAAAATGTGACTTATATTGTGTTTGTAGGTCCCTGCTTGGCCGACACCGTCTGGTATAACTGAGCAAAACGCAACCGATCACTGCAACGCTCTTGTACTTGGTTCAGCATCTGCTAAAGCATGTGAAGGAGCCCTAACTAAGAATGAAACAGACGACTTCATTGAAAATTGTGTTATTGATATTCAGGCGAGTAACAATATGATGCCCCTTCGTCAATCAGCTTTTACTTTTATTAAATGTACTTGAAATTAAATTCCAAAAATATGTTATTATTGTTCATATTGTTCTGCTTTACGTGGTGTAATAGGCGAATCAATTAAAGTATATTTTGATATAAATGCTAGTCATCGCATAGTGCGCCTCATTGAATTAAATTTACAAAGTAAATTAACGTCAAATTCCCACCATCATCACATTTTAATGTAATAACCAATCATAGATTAAATGTTGCACTATTGTTCTATATATATTAAAGGTATTGGACGATCTTGATCTAGTACAGTCTGCCATTGCTCTTTTGAAAGACCAGTGTGAAGAAATTGTGAGCAAAGATACGGATCACTGGCAAGTAAATGATGATGGGATCGCTTCGCTCCCAGCGGCTATAATTGGAGCATTATGTCCCGCTGATTGCAGTGGACAAGGCACTTGTAATGATGGTGTTTGTGTATGTGATGATGGCTATGGGGGAACGGACTGCTCTGTTCATCTCAATGACGCCCCGGATGTGTACCGTGGGCATGAGAATGGCCTATGTGATACAAGTGTAGAGACATGTTCGCATGTCTCTATATTTGGTGACAAATTCGTGGAGTCAATGACCTGTCATATAACCAGTATTAAGGTACATGAATGAACAATATCTATATGAATGAATGAATGAATGAATGAATGAATGAATGAATGAATGAACACAATGGTGCAGAAATTCGCCCATCAGTCATAACTAATCATCACCAACAACCATACCCTTTATCAATGCTTTCACAATAATGCATGTTTACATGCACTGGTTATTTGGTAATATAGTATATTGGCATTATATATATGAAAATAATACTGCAGTTTTTAGTTATAATGTTAACAATCATTGTATTGAAGATATCAGAAACCGGTTTTGAACCAGAAGAAGTAACAAACAAAGAGAACAGTGTATTCAAGTCTTTTGAAGAAGTCCAGTGTCCTTTCGAGCAACTCACTCGACGACGGCGTGATGTGGACACACTGAATCCCATTGGTGCGTTGATATCGGTCAGTAATGATGGCACGAATGAAAGTCCACAAGTCATTGTAATTATATACAATGACAACTGCGATGTATGTAATGGAACAGATGGCTTCTGTTGGCGTAAGGTGAGATTTGATATTGTATTGTAAAATACTTGTTTTACTTTTACTCGTTTAACTGAATGCTGAAAAATAAATGAACACGCGTGTATATTATTTTAATATATATTGTCCCATAATACAAGGGATTGGGTAAGTATAGCATGCAATAAACAATAGTTCTATGATATTTGCGGAACAATGTCTTGCTACGTGCGTTATATCATTTTGATTTTCTTCTTAATTCTAGCCTGATATCTGTATCGTTGATGGTGACTGTTATGCACTCAGTGACCCCATGTGCCAGTCAAGTATGTACCATTCATTCGATATTGTACTGCATAATTATCAGTATATACAAGGCAGAATTTGTAGTGTATCAAACCATACTGTGTGAAAATACAATTCTGAAATAATGATTATACAGCGTTTTACTGACGGCATGTTCACGAATAATTTATCCTTCATTCTAACTTCTATAGGTTCGAACACATGGATTATTGTTGGTGCTGTGTGTGGATCAGTATTTGTAGCTATTGTTATCATTGTTGTCATTTTGGTCATCTTAAAAATGTAAGTCTCCTTCTCGCTATTACATATGTTGTGTAAATAAATAAAATAACGCATCATTAACCATGCTAATTTGTATTTTTTAACGTTTAGGAAAGGGAAAAAGAAGACAACAGTGGAAGCAGGTATGCATGGAGCGGTTGAATAAGTTATTCCGATTTTTTGAGAAATTTGGATTGTAACTTATAAGGAAGATAGCATGTAGACAATGCGTCACCAATAGCTATGAAATATATCCAAGATTTAATAATCATAACCCAATAACACGAGCGTGTCTAAACAGTGTACCATAATATGTTTGTGTTTGTTTAAGTCATTTTAAACAGTGTATGAAAATGAACATTAGTAAATATAAATCTTTCATTTTAACCGAACAACTTGTCACGGAATTGCAAATACTGGGCGGTTACCCTAAAAAAGTCCAACAGTTAAATTGACGTTATCTGGTACCATATATACTAGTCATTATAGGGTATTTGTGTTGTTTGCGATATATATATATATGTGTGTTGGTTATATTTAGGTGTAGAATTAACTGCAATTCGCCTGGACAGGAATTTTTTTATTTGACTATGTTAATTGTTGTAGGGCGTATTTATTATGTACACTATGTACACTAATAAAGCTGTCTTGATTTTTTTGGGAACGAGAAAACTCTTGCCTGCATTTTCATATCTCAGGCGAGTAATATTGATTTTATTGTCTTCTTAAATGCTGTTATGTCGTGAGGCAGTGTCGTTTGAAACAATCTTGATTTTATTTCATCTGAGTTATCTGTCAATATATGAGGGCTTATTTTGGAAACATTGAATATACTATGCATGATATAGGCAACCATTGTCATATTTTTCATTAAAACTAATGATATATATATATATTCAGATCTAGTGTTGAAATTAAAATAAAATATTAAAATTAATTCATTACATCTGTTCTATTTTTATAGAAGAACCTTCCCAAATAAAAGAAATTTTAATATTTAAAAACATAAGAGGTAGTCACCAAACCATGTACTTTCACACTCAAGCAAGGGAATAGACATGTTGGTGAACTAGTCTTGCACTGTGAGTGTTTTATTGTTTGCAGTCTGTAAAATACCATTTTGTTCACAAATAAAAAAATTAAAAAAGAACTGCAGACCTCACTTCTTCATATTCTTAAGTGGGCTAGTCACGTTTCCACATACAAAAATACACATAATATCTCTATTTAATTTATTTCATTTTATAATATTTTCACTGAATTCTATGAAATAAATTTACGATTTACAAATTAAAGTATTGGACACTATATAATCTTAATATTTTGCAATCCATATCCTTATATTTGAATCTGTTTCAAGATATTTGAAAAAAAAATTTTTAGAAGCATAACAGTACAGTTTGCCCCCAATTCATATTGGAATATTGCCAGCAATAATTAATAAAGCTTGTTCAGAATAGCATTTATTCCCGACATCATATTCAGTGGCGAGTTCTCAGGATCTACAACAGTAAATAAATAAACATAAAATCATTTTGATGCCATGTTTTTAGACGACACCGCCATATCTAATTTTGATTTGGACCATACCATTTCAAGCTGCAGGGTGTCTAAACAATGACTCAACAAACAATAAACATATCTTCCACCCACCACACAAATTTTAGCCACAATTGAACAACCAAGAAAGCAACAAATATCAGGCTGCATCCTGAAAACAACGAAATAGCACATTACAACCAGTCATTACAAACATGAAATCCTCCACCCCTCCCAATACACCCTACAACATTAATGGTTCCTATACTCATTTGTATCTATGTACAACAAAATTAGCCAATAAATGCACCTGACTCATCAAACTTTTGACCAACCACTCATTCTAATTATTGTTGAGTGAGGGCGCTATTTACTAATGAAAGGAATCTTTTAAAAGAGTTAAGCAGATCTAATATTACAAGCAGTGAACATCAACTGATGCTTAAATTATTGAAGGTATACAGTTCACTTACCTGAAAACATATTTGAACAGGACTTATAACTTGTACCCATGAGGCCTGCAGTCTAGCCGCAGCTTAATTTGTGCGACATATGATTTATCAGGCAGTGATTCAGATCTAGTGTTGAAATTAAAATAAAATATTAAAATTAATTTATTATATTACAAGCAGTGAACATCAAGTGATGCTTTAAATAATGAAGGTATACAGTTCACTTACCTGAAAACATATTGGGACAGGACTTATAACTTGTAACCATGGGGCCTGCAGTCTAGGCGCAGCTTAATTTGTGCAGACCGCACTTCTTTATATTTTTGAGTGGGCTAGCCAAGTTTCCACATACAAAAATACACAAAATAATTTAATTTTTCATATTATTCAAATATAAGGATATGGATTGTAAAATATTTGCTAATTAAAATCAGGAATTGTGTTGTTGAAGTGTATTGTTAGAAAGTAGACGATACTAATAGAGGTAGCGAGATATGTGGGATATGTTGTGGCAATGTTATTGGAAGACCGATACTGATGCCGATACAGTTTCTGAAACCTCGTTTTGCTTTTTGATAGTTTTAAAAAGGTGTCACCAACCATTAAATAGGTAATTTCTTTGGTGATTGGAGGGTATTGAAAGAGTCATCGCCGGTAATTTGTGCACGCCGCGCCCGTTGTCACGATTGTAAATGGGAGTGAGGAGTCGGGTGTGTGTTGTTCACTGTGTGGTCGGGATATCGGGAGAGGGATTCTTCGAGTCGGGGAAACTCACTTAGCAGCGGAGGTACAGTGATCGTTGTTGTACACCCAATTCAATTAGAATTATGTACAGATACATGAAACACACCAAGATTTAAAGGTTGCTTGAAGGTTTTTAGTATATAATCTCACCAAGCTAGTTTGTCCCTACTAAAATTACTACGGGGAATCACATAACTTAGGGTGTAGGCTCTTGGCAGTCAGGCAGGAGTCTTCCTTTCTTAGCATTCGGGTGTCGCCTTATATTAGCAGACAGACACTCCTCACAAAAAGAGCCGTTGACACTTTCCCAGTTTTTCCACGGAGTGCGAATACAGGTCACAGCTTGGGTAATAAAGTCACAGCTTGCCCGATAATAAAATTTCAAGAATGTATGAAACATCTCCAAACGAGTGTAAGTCAAATTGAAATAAGTATAGATTTTATCATTTGTGTGTTAACAGGAACGCACAAATGATTTGGAATGTATTTAATGGTGTGTATTTCAAATTTGTACATTTCATTTGAAACGATGTGTGACTGTCGTGACTATTTTTAAATGGCGTGTGACTTTCAAAAAGACACGATTTTATAAACAATACCTGTGTATGATGGTTAAGAGTGTATGCATGTTAAGATAACGTGTGTATTTAAAAAGATGTATGCGTTTTTACATTAAAAATGTTTTGATGCGTTTGAAAATGATTGATATGTGATGTACATCAGTTCCAGTAAGCCGATCATGCTTAAATGATATCAGACACAATTGCTGATCATTTTGTAGACCTTTTAACCAAAACAACTACCAGTGAGCTTACAACTCGCCTACAACATGGAACCAGCAATCTCAGAGCACAACAGAAACTGGTATATTATATTATGGTCAACCAACCCAGTTTTATACTCATAAATATACTTAACCGTGCTTAATTGTAGTCCACTAAACCAGTGTTAACTGTAGTTAACCATGGTAGTTAACAGATGTTGGTCTACAGACAAAAATTACAGCAGCTTGCAATGCAGAGCACAAGCTCATGCAATGAATGGTTTAGTGTAAATAATAATTGATAAAAAACACATGGATTTGCTAGCTTCAGTGAAAAACGTATGTTGCTGCATTTTGATAAAGATGTAAAATTAAATTTTTGTTGATAATGTTAGCCATGAATTACATTGACATTTGCAATCAGACGACTGGATTGCATCAACAATTAATGCATTGCCTTAGGTTAATACCTTTGTCAGCTTGTAATTTGTATTAACTACAATTGACAAGTTAGAAGCTTTGTTATCACACACATATAATGTGTAGGTTTGTAATGAAACACAACACTTAACAGACCTATTTAAATTCCGTATTTTCGCGGAAACATGATTTTTTTTATATATCGCAAACTAAAACCTCAGAATAATTTATGGTAGTATTATCAGAGTAGTAACAAAGAAAGAAAATAAGCTAAGCATCATGGGATAGTGGGTTCATGATCATCTTTGCCAGCAACGATTCATTTATTCGACCTTGTCATATCAGGGATTTGGCAGTAGTTTATGCACGTAGCATGATAATTGAAACAAATCGGTCGTGCTGGACGTACACATCCTTACTTACTTTGTGATTGGAGGATATCCACATACAATAGTATACTTCTTTCATTACGGTGAGGGAAAATGGCTACTTCTGAATACAGCGCCCCTATAGGCGTGAATAAGTTAATGATGACAATCATACATATTACAGTTAACATATTTATAAAACCAGGCCATTTTAAATCACGCACATCGTTTCAAAATAGAATAAACACATTTGAAACACACACCAATAAAAAGCACCTATTTTCTTCAAGCATTTTTTTCATAAGAATGGTTCTCGGCGATATAAATATATTGTTCTAAACTACAATTCCACTTATTTCGTCAAGAATGAAACTAATGCCACCACTTTGTACAGTGAAGAAGACATTGTCCTCATGCTTGAATTTTTGATAGATAATATATTTGTTAAGTTTGGGGGACATATATTTCAACAAATTATCGGTATTCCAATGGGAACCAACTGTGCTCCCTTTCTGGCCGACTTGTTTTTATTCTCGTATGAGACCGAGTTTCTTCAGAAACTTGTTAGGAACCACTCAAATTAAAGGAGCTAAATCTTTTAATTTTACATTTAGATATATTGATGATGTCCTTTCCATCAACAATCCTAACATTTGTGATTCGCTCCCATTGATATATCCCACAGAACTAGACATTAAAGAAACTACAGAATCAGCTTCCTCTGCCTCATACCTTGACATTTAACTCGAATTTGACAACAATGGTCATCTTTCTACAAGACTTTATTTCAATTTCACTATCATCAATTTTCCAAACCTGTTTTAAACTATTAAGTGAAGGGTTTACAAGAGAAAGACTGATCTTGTCATTTAAAATGTTCTATGGCAAGTATCATCAGCTGGTAGACAAGTATCATGTTTCTATGAAACAGATGGTAATAGAAGCGCTGGATGTCAATTGTCTTGCACGAGGATGACCTAAAATTCACGATTG